TTTACAACAACAGCTTACAAAACAGGGTTGCTACACATACAAAATACATCTTTGGCTTATGCATGTGCAGGATGTGTGTGTGTGTGTGTGTGTGTATTTATTTTTATAAACTGGAAAGAGTGATGGCAGCAGACAGAACCCTAACCAGCAAAACGGCAGAGCTGTAAGTTAAAGTGAATGCGTCGTAACCCGGGGTCATTGCTCCAGATTGCACACTTCTTATGTGTGAAATATCTCAATTTCTCGAGCAAAAGGTCTGTGGGGAGTTTTTGCGCTGACGCAGGCCCAGACGATGGTATGATACACAGCATGGTGACATCAAACTAATCAGAATGTATTCATCTTCAACTAGAGTAACTTAATGAACTCCAGCACTATCTGATGCAACACTTCTCTAACATTAATAAAAGCTTCATCTCCTGTCTGATTTGCATAATTGTTGAAATGAATCCTTTAATGCGCTCCTTTTTCTTCTTCTTTTTTATTAAAGTGCTGATTTGCGTTAAAGTGAGCTGCGGCTTGCCGCTGAGAGGAGAGGGGAGGAGGTAGAACAACGGAGAATGGGAGGAGCGGGATTTGCAGAGGGCCTGAGGTGATAAGTCACCATTTTGATTGGGCCATGTAATTAAGTGTTCTGTGTTGGACAGCGGTTTATTGGACGGTACTAATTTCTCATATGGCTTAATGGCTACCTGAGTAGCTTAGCATTTGTTTCTCATATTATGCAACTTTTTCTTCTTGTCTGCATGTCTCATTGAGTGAGATATCTACAAGTTCCCCTTTAATCTATTTATTGTTGATGCCCATTTCCAATCCCTTGATATTGCTTCTGCCGACAGTCTTTGTCAGCCACACGCTCTGAGTGCTCTATAAATGAGTGCCAAATGCGTGTCATGAAATGGCATTCTTGGGTTCTTTATTCTGAAAGATTTAACCAGTCGCTACGTGTGTGTAGTGCATCTTGTTTAGACATTCTGGTACCTGCTCCTTACCAAGACAACTGCTGTGTCTAGGTCTTTCTCTGCTTCTCTTCCCTCGGCTTTGCCCCCAGAACTGCAAAGCAGAGCCCCTTTACTAAGGGAGACACGCATTAACCCAGCCCCTCAACACAGTCAGCAATCCTTTTCTAAGGAGAGTAGGGTGATGTGCTTCTTCTCTGAGTACAAATGGACAAGCTGGTAAAAAACACCCGCAGAGCAGCTTTGTTGGTTACTTCACCCTCCTCTTGAAGTTTGTATTGTTCCTTTTTGAGAGTTCTTGATGTCACAAGGGGACATTAGTCCGGTCTCTACTGTCTTACTTTCCTGATGTCAAGGACTTCAGTTCTATGACATTCGACAATATGTGCATGTTTCAACCTGAATTGTTTTAGTTTCCCTAATCAAAGAAACTCTAAACCTTTCATTCTACAGTCGCTCTAGTCTTTATGTTTGTATTGCAGTGGACTTGCAAACAGGCAAATTCCCTCATGCTGCGCATGGCAATTGGATGTAATAGTCCATTTACCTCTGTGAGTGTGTATCTCTATTTGTTTGTCTGATGATGATAGCCTGGCAGGAGTTTTTTTTTTTTTTTAAACTGACCAGAGCAGCTTTTGTAAAATAGACCTCTTCTGTTTTCCTGTCTGTACGTCAGCTATGTGAGGCTGCCACTGATCTGGTTGTTTTTACAGAACATTTAAAAATACATCTGGTGGTCAGCGATGAGAAGAACGCATGCCAAAACTGCTGTGATGACCGGGGGCTTTAAGATCCCGCAGTGTCAACAAAAACCCTTCTTGGTTAGTCTGGACACGGTTAATGGTGTCCCGCCTAAGAAGCACCTTTTTGCAAATGAATGCAGATGCAAAAGTTACACATTTAGTCTACAGAAACAATTAGATTGTGTTTAAGACATAATAGGAGTCTGTTAGATATAGAAGGAGTATAATTAACCAGTGTGTATTTACAAGCACCTTTGCGCTGCTGAGTGGCAGTCTTGTCACTATACAAGGTAATTAGAAAGCGTTTTTTTGGCAGCAGAGTATGGAATGAGATGTAAAGATTGTGCCTCTCACAATGGGATTTTGCTGTGCAGTTGGAAGAATCAATTCCTTCTCTTTGTTTTCCTAAACTGCGATCTCAGCAGAATCTTCATTTTTTGTATGAAAACTTTGGCAAGCGTGCTGCTCTGCCATACACTAGTAGAAACACACACACGCAATAGGCCAGTATCCCTCTGTCATTTGGCATTCCACACATAGTTGCCTTAAATGAATGCATACCTTTCCTCCATCTAACTGCTCTGTTGGGATAATAAAAACCTTCTGACTGCAAAGATTCAGGTGTGTACACTCCTCAACTACAAGTGCACCACAATCGAGAGAGCCTGCTTTTGCCACGTTGGAATTACAGCAAAATGAGCTCACGCAGCTACTCATGTGCCAGCGACAGTCAAAGAGTGTAGCTCATGTAACAGGTTAGGAATTGGGTTTGGTTCATTCTCTCAAAGAAAATGTACAAAATGATATATTACATTCTCAGGAATAAAATATTGGAGCGCCTTAAATGATATGATCTTAATCAAATAATTGATTTTGCATTAGTTGGCAGCAATTTAATACATCATGGATAACTATGTTTTAATCAGAGAATAATCACCTGAAACCAATCCTAGTGTTTTTGTTAGCTTTGAAAAGGTGATTTGTATCTGCTTGGTCGTCTTCCATGGAGTTATCCATCCTGCTTCACCATCTTTCTACATCAGCCCAGAAGAGCCATGCACTTTTTATGTCTTATCTGAAGGTAGGGATGCGTTCCAAGTCTCTTGTGTTGAACTGTCCCAACTCAACCCATCGGTCCCTAATGAGTTTTGATGTTTTGCATCTTCGGGTTGCAGCGCACAAATTGTGCTGAGCTCCTCCAACTACACACACACACACACACACACACCCACCTGCACGAACAAATATGACGATGTGGTGACATGAACCCGGTGAAGAACTCTTGAGTTGACAGCAACTGCTTGTTGCTGTAGGTGGAATCAAATACTTTATTGAGCCGTAAACATGCAAACAAAAGTGGACACCAATTGTACTATAAGCTGTATGTTTTTAAAGACAATTATTTAGTCATGAGGAAAAGCAGAGTATTGTGAGGAGAAGTTTCTAGTAGAATGGTAAATGGTAGAGGTAGCGCTCCTGGCCCCCACCTGAAGGCCCCCGTAGGTCTCCGACATGCTTCGATAGGCAGGCGGGTAATAAGTTGCAATCTGCTACACACCACAAAATACTACTACAGATGTAAAATATTGCTAACCGTCCCTAACCGGATACACCAATAAATAAATCACATGAATCTTCCACACTGGTTATAACAGAGTTAAAGGCCCAATCTAGGCTGAGCAACAATTTACCTGATGCCCAACTTATAATCACTTATGTCTGCTACTGTTGATACATGATAAATATGATCATAAAGCGTGCGATCACAAGACCATTTAGATTGCTTTTATAATTACTGTAAATGTAAATATCAACCAAGGTTCAGGGGGTAAACTTTGTCCCAAACAAGAACCCATCAATTCTGATCAATCCATGTAGACAAATCACAGCGTATTGCAATACAGATTATAAGTAAAAATACGGTGGAAGTGGTTCACGGGCAGAGTCGGGGCTTGCCACAAGACATGATGTAACAGTTGCAGTCTTGTTATTTGGAGAAGTGTTTCACACCCTGCTGAAGTAAGACAAAAAGAGAGCTGGGAATTTAGTAAAGCCAAACCCAAACTATAGTGACAGTTGTGAATGGAAAGTATCCCGAGTGGCGCACACAATGTTTACCCACCTCTCACACCTGGAGTGGTATTTCTAGTCAACCCCTCAGGGCGTTTCCTGCATAATTTACACCGATTAGTATGTCGTGAAGGGGTTAGAGTCGGGGTTTTTGTTGTTCTTGCTCCTTATCTGCGGTGGCAGTTCCCATCTGAATCCAACATTATAATATAAAAGAATTCTTGCATATCAAATCCCCTTTTTGTTTAGATATCCGGCTTTCTTTATGGCCCATTGGAAGTTTCATTGTTTGTACATTTGCGAGTCAAAGATATCATTATTGTATGTTGTATAAACTGACAGGAGAAAGACGCGTTAGAAAAGTGGGCCAATAATGCCGCACAGATTTGTTTTTTGCTGCAGTCTGTGAAGAAGTGGAAGAAGATTTTCGCGTTTGCATTCCATTCTCGTGCCCCTTTTTTTCCATTGCAGTGAACTTGCATTGTCTGCCAACCCGTGTCTATTTTTTTACACGCACACAACTTGAGTCAGAGGGCAGAGCAGTCTTTTCATGCATGGCTCACTGTGCTTATGTAAGAGTACCACTTAAACCTGGTTACATCACAGAACAGGCAGCACTGTGTCAGTGGGTCACTGTGCCACACAACCACTGAACTATATACGCACTCTGTGTTGGGCCCCTCGTGTGTGAATGAGGCACACGTGCTCTGGAGGGTTTGCATGCCGCCGTTTATTTGTGCGTTGGTTATGCTGACTGATGTTTGATAAAATACGATCCAATACTGGCCAAAACCAAATGGAAAAGTTAGTATATGTTGCTTGGTTTACTTTAGTAGACCGCTTCTGTGCCAGTGCTGCGCCTACGCAGTGCCAGTAGGGGGGCCCCGTCTGTATCTAAATTCGACTTGTGTGTATCCTCTTCTCTCTTCTCACCCTTAGCCTCTGCTCCTGCTCCTCATACTGCCTCCCCAGCTCCGCCTTTCTGACAACAGAACAGCCCATCGCTGTCTTTTTCTCTCAGTTTCTATTTAGTACACACACACACACACACACGCGAGGCCAGGACCGGCTCCTCCCACTCATCCATAGTCCCATGAAAAACACAGAGTGAGTGAGGGAGTGAGGGAGTGAGGGAGGCCCAGACAGAAGAGAGAGAGGGGGAGAGAGGGAGGGAGAGGGAGGAGCATAGCTGCGCTGAGGCCGAGCCCCTCTATGCTTCAGCACGCAGAGTGGAGCAGACGGCAACAGCCACACAAACACACTCCACACACCACCTACACCACCACCACCACCACCACCCGCGCCACCGCCGCCACCACCACACTGTGACGGCTGGAGGCGCAGTGGGGAGCAAGCCGTCAGGGACAGAGCTTGAGAAGAAAGAGAGGGATCGCAGAGGGAAAGAAGGAGCCAGTTGGAGGAGGCACCTTGTGGATCAGAGGGGATTTTCCTCCTGTGCGCTTCTGGACAGGACTATCTGCTTCTCCCTGAGCAAAAGGAGTTTTTACCGAGGCTTTTTCTTTCTGCTCATCCTCCAAGCGCCGGGCTCCAGCCGTATCTACCTATCTATCCCGGAGCTTAACAAAACAGGGAGGGAGTGTGAGAGAGCGAGAGAGAGAGAGTAAGAATAAAGGCACAGCTTCAGCTCAAGACCACCCTTTCCTCGTCGCCCTCCTCCTCCTCCTCCTTTTCTCTCTCTAGCTCCACATCCATGTGTGAGTTCATTGCCGATTTCACTGTCTTTTGAAGATAGAGCAGAGGACAGCTCGCATTCTCCAGGATACCTCCCAGCCCCCAGTGGGATCCGGGTCTGGTGTGAGAGAGAGGGAGCGAGAACCAGACAGGAAAACTGATACACAGGAAGAAGGAAAGAGACTGGGAGAGACAAGAGTAAGAGACGCCCGAGAGCACATTGAGGGGCATGTTCAGGGCAGCAGAGAAGAACAGTCAGTCTGATTTTTAGAGAGAAGAGTGCAAGGAACCGGCAACCGGATCCCATCCATTGCTCCCTCCTCCTCTTCCTCATCGTCCTTTTCTTCTTCCCTCTCCTTTTACCCTCTCTCCTTCCTCCGTCGCTCCTCAATTCTCCCTTTTGTTTCCGTGGATGCCTCCTACAAACCTTTTTAATATCTTCCTTTCCACACCTCCTGCCCCCCAAAGCCTTTTTTTTTTTGCGGCCACTCCGGATTTCTCTCCGTCTCTCTTTCCGGACCTGTCTCGCTTTGTGAGGTTCACCGTGGGCTCCCAGACAAGTAGAGTGACTGAAATCCCGAGTGCTCTGTGTCCTCACCGTCCCTCCCTTCCTCGGTGCGTTCATCACATAAACGCACACCTTGATAGGAGGAGAGCGCTCCCTCTCTGAATCCTCCGCTCTTGGAAGCAGTCGTCTGGAGGATCCACGCCGTCTTCACCTGCGAGCTTCTATCTCCAGCCTCCTGCGCCTTCAATTGGATTCCAGCTACATGGGAAAACGTTTGGAGCAGCAGCAAATGTACCCCCACTACACCTACTATTACCCCCACTATCTCCAGACCAAGGTAGGATGGTCCGGCCCGGTTGACCTATTTTAACAAGCTCTAAACTCCCAGGGGAGAAAAACCTGTTTGTGCGTTGAAAGTACTCATCGGCTGTTTGTCTTGCAACCGTCCTTTTGATTACCTCTATCTTCCCTATCTGCTGTCCCTTTAATTCTCCTTCGCAATACGTGCAGGATGGTCTCAAGTGTATTATTCTCCCCCCAAGAAAGTTGAATTCCTTAATTGATGCACCAAAGGGGATCAGTCAAAAGACCCAAATTTGTTTAAAAAAAGTAAATGCTGAAATTGTCTCAGCATGCCAAATGACACCACGTCCCTTCGCACGCATCTGTCTCCGAGCGGGGCAGCATTGGTGTCACTCAGCTTCTCCATTCACGCTGAGCACTTGACCCCATCCTCCCAACCCCACCGGCTCCAAGTTCAAGTTCAGGGCAAGAGGCCCACCCTTCCCTCGGCCACATGTTTTCTCTCCTACTTTGTCCCTCTCCCGCTCTGTCACTCCGAACCCCCCCAACGCCCCTTTCTACCCCTCCCCTTTACTGCCCCCCCCCTTCCTCCCCCCAGGCTATATACTCACCCATGATCCCACGCCGCAGACAAACCTGAGATCAGATGGAACCTGATACACTTATCCGTTTATCCAGGGTACAGAGTACAGAAAACAGAGCTCATTTTTTTCTTTCTTTGTTCTTTCCTTACATTCCTACTTTGTTACCCCCACATAGTGTGCATACACAGATCATCACACACACACACAATATATATTACACTCTTCTACCACCAAGAACGGGGAAATGGATCGCTGAGGCTTGATCGATGGCTACTGCATCACATTGCCAGGCCACCCATTCCCTTTGTTTACTGTGATTCATTTGTTTTTTCTTCTGTGTGATAGTAAGTGTGGGGAGTTGGCAGGTTTGTTGCTTTTTTTTTAGTAAATGTGTGCATGTCAGTAGGCAAGAGAGGTGGAGGGAGATACAAAGACAAACGTGTAGGAGTGGGATGCTGTGAGAGTAGAGAGATCGTGGTATCGGGTGGACAAAGTGTGGGAGGAACAGGTACAAAAATGATTGCTCCACCAACAAAATAGGCCATGGCGGTATATCTAGTACAATTGTGAAGTCCTTAAATACTTTATTTGAACCAAATGGCACGTAGGTTAAATGGTCTCACTAAAGTTTATTTCCCCCAATTCTAATCCAGAACAGAAACACTCGAAGAGGATGTTTGTCTGCTTTCAAGTTTCTAATTTAAGAGACTGATACTCATCAAGCAAACATTGGTTTATCAGTGGGGAGGAATAAGTAATAATCCTATAGATAGATATATATCTATAGGAATAAGTAGTTTTAACATAATTATACAATTGTTACACATTTTTTAAAACCGTATAAAAGTTTTTTAGGATGAAAAGATATTTTCTGTTATTCAACACAGCCGAGTGCTCGCTGGCCCAAATGAAGAACCATATTCATTGGCAGCTCCACGGCTGCAGCTCTTCAACTTTAATTCACAAAAGAAGATTCATATTTCTAATTAACTACAGGATATTTTTGCAGATGACCTTAGCAGATCCCATTTGCAGCATGTCCACGTTACAGACATAGTTGATGCACATCTGTGACCTGTCTGATGTTTTTAAGAATGTGCTCACGATGAGCAATAAGATGTTGGTACCTTTTGTCATGACAAGCAAGTCTTTCTGTTTCCTAATCTGGAAGCGTAAATGTATTTCTGTGACTGCATAACACAAATAAAACTCCAAAGAACTGTCTGGTAATTGTATTTCGGAAAAGGTGTTTCTTTTTCTTAATATTTTAATTGGAATGACAAAATACGATTCATCTTCTTGATACAGCTTTTGCCTTTTAAACTTTCCCAGCCAATTTTTTTTGTAGCCGTTTCATCATTTATTCCATGGCCGCACTAATGCTGCGTGTTGACACAAGACAATGGTTGTGATTGCATCAGATTCAAAATGAATCAAATTCTAATTTTCTAGCAATAAGAAATAAGCATTTTTCTTACCCACCCTGTCAGTTGATCAACCCGTTTCCACTCACAGGGTGATTGTAGGTTTATTACACAGGCTATTACGCTGTATCTTTATGTGTGCAGATGTCACCGTGTCACACTGCTGCTATTCATCTATCAGTTCAAGGTCAAGTCATTTTTCTGAAGTATCTGCAACAGGAATATGGCCCAGACCATCGCTTGATTCCGTGCACTCCATCCATCCCTGCCTCCCTTCAGCCCTCCCTCTGTCCCTCTGCTTTCAAGGTCAAATCAAATTGGATCCCACCCTCCCTAGTGTTTCCTGTCGATGGCGCCTGGGTTTGTGTGTGTGAGTGTGTGTCCGCATATCCATCCACGTATTAATAAACCGACATCTGTGCATCAGCTTTGTTTACGTGACTGTACACGAGCCGGTAACTGTCCGTCAATGAACGTGTGGGCAAGGACTGATTATATTTGCTCACGTTCACGCGTGTGCAGGTCTGTATGTGCATGTGTGTGTGTGTGTGTGTGTGTGTGTGTGGCCTCTGAACATTGACTCCTTCTGACCCCTCCTCTGTGCAGCTTGTTGTCATTAAAGCTCCAGTGATTCCAAGGGGATCAGTTCTGTGTGTGTGTGTGTGTGTGTGTGTGTGTTTCAGAGGCCCCACAGAATATTCCATTATACGTCTATATGGACCTTGACAACAAGCCAGTGTTTGATCTGCCTGTGCTGCTCTCTGACTTCAAATGTGTGTGTGTGTGTGTGTGTGTGTGTGTGTGTGTGTGTGTGTGTGTGTGCGCGCGTCCATGTAAATGTTTGAGTGAGAGTGTGCAGGTGGTTGTAAGACTCTGTTTGTGCAATGAACAAGAGCAGATCAGTACTTACTAGTTGTATTTATTGTGTGGCCGCTTTTTGGCTCAATTTGGCTTGGCGACCTGATTGGAGATGTAAATGGCCTCCTCAACCATTTGTGTGTGTGTGTGTGTCTGTCTCTGCGTATGTGCCCCCTTCAACGCACACATGCACCAACGTCCAACACGGACGGTTTTAAAACGACTAGCTACAACTAACAAAGCTTATCACGATGACAAAGTGTGGCCATTAAACAGAGAGCTGCACTTGCTCTGCCTCCATAATGGGTTGTAGGAACAGGTAATGTACATTAGTAGGTAGGACGGGACGGCGCGTCCGCTTACGTCAGCCTAGCAGCGCTTTAAGAAGGTTTCTAGTGCTCGCAGAGAACGCACAGCTGCATTTCTTTAGGGTTTTCTTGCCAATGTGAGCTGGTTTCAGTCTGCGCCTTGTTGATTCCCACTCTTTGGCATTGCATACTGAAGGCATTTTTTGACACTTGCAATCTGTAAAATCTCTAATTGGACCAAATGAAAGTGCTAAACAAATTATTGTAGCTTGTGATTATTGCATGTGACTGTTGTTGGGGTGGAATGTGTCATTACTGGAAATTACACAGCAATAGTCAAATTTAACAGGTTGTCTTTTTTTAACTGAGGAAAATTTGCATTCATGCGGTCAAGCTCTGATAGTTGGTAATTATATATGAATCTCATAAAATAAGGATAAAGGTATACTTACCCCCCTTAATGTCTCCATTTCCCTTCGCTCAAGCATTGTTGGCACTACTTTTTAGTTTAGTTAGATTTTTTGTTTCATCATTAATATTTCATTTGCATACTTGACTTGTTTGTCATGTGAAGTATGAATATCACTCATACTGGTTAACATTTTGAAATCATTGAACAGCACTACTTGGTTAATGTAGGTAAACACTCATTGTTTTGGTTAAAATAAGTACTTTTCTTACATAAACTAAGCTGCATGGACAACTCAAGTATCCATCGTAAATTAGTCTTCTGTCGACTTTTGGTTTCACACGTGACAAGCGCCGTTATCACGGGTGAAGGTTGACAAGACTTCTGGAGCACACTCCCAGAGAGTCTAATAACGCCGTTACGCATGAATTGACTGAAGAAATTAAAGTGTTATTCACACTACGCGTTAACACAGGCTGTGTTCTGTATAGATGATTGAACCTCTGAAATGCAGCAGTGCTATTCGTGTTTTAAATATGCAGAGCCTCTCGATGATGACTGACGGAGGACATAAATCTTTCATGATAGTCGTTAGGAGTAAGATAAGAAAGGAAGAAAAAAAAAAAAGTTGCATTATCAATCAGCCGATCGTTAGTTTGCCGCAGAAAAGTGTGCTAATATGCTGAGCAGCACACGAGGAGCTTCAATTAGGGTAATGAGCAGCAGCATTCAGCTGATATCAAAGTAATGGCACATGTGGACACGCCTGGCTGTCTAAATAGAATATTTCATCTTTCAAAAATACGATTTTCACATTGAATTACTCTCTGTTACAGTATGCGCTCAATAAATGTGGTCAGTTTTAGGCCGAGCTGTGTTGAATAAACACCACGAAGATAGGACGAAGACAAGGGTACAAACATGGAGATTCCCACGGGCAAAGTCATTCACTTTTGCACTGTGCTGATCTTTATGTCCTTCCTTTATTATCACATCCTTCCTTCCTTCCTTCCTTGTTTACTTCCAAGCTTCTTTTCCTCGTCACGTCAAACAATGAAGCACTTGAAAGCCAGCATAAATTATGCAGCACGCACACACACACGTGCATACAGACAGTGAACAGTGTGTGTAGTGCGGGGTGCAAAGTAAACAGAGGGTATGGGTTTTATAGCGTTGCATTCTGCTCATGCCCTGTTTGCCCTTTCACATCTGCCCGCCTGCATCAGTTGAGGTTTTACAAGCAACACCATTGTCATGTGCTTGTTGTTTAAGACGGCGCTTTTCTGTTTGTATCTCAGCGCTGCTCTTGATGCCATCATATGCCAATGTAGAGAATGTAGAAAAGCCTTGTGCTGCCGCCTTTTTAAAGCCGTTCCCAACACTCTTGCTCACTCCGTTCCCTGCTTTTTCTCTACTCTCTCTCCCTCTTTTCCTGCCTCTCTCTCACACTC